TATATATATATTGTATAAAAATAAGTATCTCCTGAAAATTTTATCAATCAACATTGGTTGGTTACTACCAATTCTATTCTAAAAACATTGGCTGATCTAATAAATTTTTTAATCTAGAATTTTTCATCTGAAAACTAGAAAAAAATGCTGTATGGCCAAAAAAGGTATTTGATATTTTTTTTATCACATTCACCTCAAGCAAGGGAGTAAAGCCTCTAAGACACAAGGAGTTACTAGGTGTGGAAGAATTAGAAAACAGAAACATTACTAAGGAGCAAGAACAATAGAAAAGTAATCAGGAAAACAGTAGATAATGATTGACATTGCATTTAAATCTTTGAAGTTTAAAGTTGATTGGAAAATATGGAGCCAGAAGAGAGTTCCACAAGCAAGAAGTGTGAGAAGAAAAACTGTCAGCATAAAACTTAGTTATATACAGCCAACTCAATTGTAAATTATCAAACTTATTTAAATTTTTAAATTCAAATTCCGTGATGCATAGAGCAGTTAAAACGCAAGGTTAAAATGGAGAATATAATGTTATATATAGATAGATATTCTGATATACCACAAAAAGTCGCATTTTGAACAGTTACTCAAAGATCAATTTTCCAATGATCACACAAAGGCCATGGGCGCTTTGGCATCATGTAATGGTTAGCAAGCTTGTGTCACTAAATCAATTATGACTGAATAGTGAGTTCAATCCTCACTTGGTGCTTCATACTTTTGGCCTTGTTCCACATCTAAGCTATACTTAGAAAGTCACCATCACTCAAAGGTCACGTTTTTTTGAGAGTCACTCATATTAAATCACTGAAGTCACTTCCTGCACAATTACCAAATGGTCAATTATCAAAACCCACCAAAATTCATGTTTTATTATCAACAATCACCAAAAGATTGTCACTTTGTAACTGAAGAAATACTGGTAGTTTTAAAAAGGAGAAAAGTTAGAATTAGAATTGCAAACCAATAAAACTTCAATTATTGATTACACTTCAGTTATTGCACTGAAAAGGGATTTTAGACTCTCTAAACCTTCCTCTTTTTCTATGTGTGTTGTAACCTAGGGAAGGTTACTGAATAATCACATGAAGGTTGGTAATGAACGATAATACTTAGGACAAGAACAACACATATAAGATTCATCAGCGGTGCGTAGAAGTAGTATTCAACTTCTAGAAGTGAGTCAAGTGAATTCCACAATGAATCTCCAACTGCAGGTATATCTACCAACTGCACCCCCCCATGGCCAGATATGGCACAAAGTTGAATTTACTGTGGGGTATCTGAGCCCATAGGCTTGGTCAAAAATTCCCCATACTCTGTATAAAACAGGGTTGGGTAGCTGTTTCCCGAGATGAGACCCTGCCCTTCAACATAGCCTTGTCTGGGGATTCTTTCTGCCTGGAGGAAGAGAGTTTGACCAGCACAGCTGGAGACGAATCTCCAACTGCAGACCAACATACAGTATTTACTACTGTATTTATGTGAATGGGGATATATCCATTATTGTCTGTAGGTATGCTACAACAATGTGCCATGGACGTGGGCGATCATGGCTCTCCACAACTTCCTATCCTTTGTATCTCATAAAAGTCTTTCTTCAGTGAGAATCATAAAAAATATTCTAGCCACCCATTTTCTTCCAAGGTCTCCATTTATTTGAAACTCAAGTGCATACATGTATCTTCTTTCCATCACCTTTTATCAAAAAGCTCACATTGTCATTCTACAACTGTTAAGTCAGCTGCATGAATTGGTAAAAAAGAATTAGATTCAGTCAAGAATTGAACTCACAACTCTTATCCAAGGAAGCCTGCCTTTCCATGACAGCACTATTACCAGTTTAGATACAAAGGCTTTTCCAGACAAGCCTTGCTTAAATCATCTTACTTTTCCAATTGTCACTGTTATCTTAAAAATATTTTCTATCCTGACATATCCAATTATAATAAATCTTTAGATATCCAAATTTCTTTGAGTTATTAGCATTTATAAGTTTTGACTAGTCTTTCACCTTATTTATGTTGCTTTTCCTAACAATTCTCGCATCATTAGTCTACAACTGTTAAATCATATCTATTGGAAATAAAGAATAAGCCTTTGTCAAGATTTAAAATCACATCCCAGATATTTTAGGCTTTTACAATCAACTATAAATGTCTCCTCAAATTTGTAAATTAATTTTCAAAGAAAGAATAAAAGGTGTAGATTGTCTGCTAAAAAGTCATATTTTGTTTGCTTTGGAAAATGATAAAAAAAATTACAATTTCAACAACAAAGATTAGATAACATGTCTTATGACATAGGGATCTATTTTTTTTAACAAGTTCAGTATTATTTAATTTTTAAGAACAAGACTAGCCAGAGGGGTTTCTTTTGCTCTTTTTAATTTTTGAAGGCAAGCTTTTGTTCCTCTTATTATAAAAAGTCTAGTTTAATCTATTAAAACAGAACACAAAGTGAATATTTCTGAAAACAAAAAAGTTATTAGATTCCCTCAACCTTAATTAATAATGACCATTATTCTTTACTTAGATATTTTTAAAATATCTAAGTAAAGAAAAATTTAGCATCTGTTTAAATTTTAAATACTATTTAAAATTTTAAATATTTTTCTGTATTTTTAAATCCTGAAACTCAAGCCTTAAAATCAGATAATGCAAAACAATTTTCCCTGTGATATCCCAATCAATCAATAAAAATGATTCATCAAATTTCACTTGTTTCTATTTTGGAAGACATCTTTTAAGGTTTTATAAGTGGCTCTTTTAAATGGTGTAAATATTTCTTTTCTCTGATCACAAACAAAGATCAGATAACATGTCTTATGTCTTTGTTATGAAATGTCATTTCCTTCATGTTTGCTCAATCCAGCAATAATCGTTAATCCTGCATATCATATACTATTGTTCCACTTACTGCTTGGACACATATATTCTCTATGCCTTATCTCTGCTGATTAGGCAGTCATTTAAATATTGCGTAGAGTGGAGTGGGTAGCCATGGTCAAATGCAAAATAAGTAACAAATAATAAGCAATAGTAATGTAATGGAATAACCTGTCACTCCCATGAATGACTACACTATAGGTAGTAACTACCTATAAGTATCTGTAAGTCAACAGATTACAGAGACTAGCTGGGCTCTGTCCCAGCTAGACAGTCAAACTCTCTGCTTTTAGGCAGAGAGGAACCCGGATGAGGCTCCGCCGAAAGGCAATCTCGTTCAGGGAGGTAGACTGCCCCTCAACCCATTTATGCAGGTTCAAAAAGGGAATATTTTTGGCTGAGCCTACGGGCTCGGACAACACATGTTAAACCGGCCTTGTGCCACATGCAACCCTCGTGGCTGGGGTAGCTAAATATACTAACTGGGATCTGTTGAGTATGAGAGACTTACGCAAGAACTACTGACCTTCCAATAGTAGCACTCACTACTGGATTGATTTGTGACGACCTTGTGCATAACTGTTACCTTTATTGTTATTGTACTGGTTTCTACAATAAACCTTTACTTATTTTATCCACCTTGTTTTCCAAGTATATATTCCTATTAGCACAGAATATAACAAATAGCAAGAAAAAGAACAAGGCAAAAATAATATAAAGCAAGCAAACAATTTGTGCAAGGCAAATTAACAGTAATAAGGCAAAGCAGCAGAAATATGGCAAAAAATTCACAAAGAATTTGTGTTGATACGCAAGTGTGGACAAGCTTATGTAGTGTTCTGACATCAAGACAAGACAGACCAAGACTGTGTCAGGTCAAACCAAGAACTGGCTTATTTTATTGGCTAGGAAAAATTCCCAGCATGCACTTGTGTACTTCTGCCTATAAAAGAGGAGGGGAAAGTGTTTTGCAGTCATTCCTAACAGAATTTGAAGCAAACACTACAGCCTTGAAAGAACATTTTATTTTGAAATATGTTTTGTAAAATCTATTTGTTGTTTTATGTCACATTTAATTAATCTGATTATTGCTGTACACATCAAAGCAGTAACTATCTTTATTGGTAGACATGCCAATTACTTTGTAGCAAACCTCCCAAACCGATGGAATATGGTGAAAAGTAAGTTCCACTTGAACAGCTCCTTCCCGCAAACCACTGCTCTGTGGAACCGACTCCCCGATGACTATAATCTTAACCTGTTCAATCTAGAGTTAACTGTTACCTTCCTCTCCTATCTGTACAAACTGCCTCATAATGTAACCCTGTACCTTGAGTAGTCCCCAGGCCTTGTAGAGGATGAACCATACTGTGAAAAAAAAAAGCCGAAATCACTACAGTTTCTAATTTAATTCTTGACAACAATTATCCTCTGATTCAAAACAACATGTGGTGAATGTAGAAAAGGTTATCAGGGTCAAAAGCAAAAGAATATGTGGGGTTTCTAACCTTATTTCTTAAATGAAAACAAATTATTAATGAACAAAAATATGCAAATTTGGCAATTAACTGAATAACTTCTGAGCTGCTGAATTTCTAAAGAAGTTAACTTAGAAGTTAATTGCCAAGTTAATTATAGACATGAAATGACCAACAAAGACTAAAGATGGATTTTAAAATTTTTCTTTTATCTGCTGGCAAGAAAATATTCTTTTGCATGAGGATTGTGCAATATGATTTAAAAATGTATCTGTAAAGGAATTCTGGAGGTCAGCCCAAAATCTAGAATTGACCTTTAAAACCCTTTTCAGTTACTCTGTGTGTTTGAATTGCTGAATTTTCTGGACGGATTTAATGTTCAATAACAGTCAATAAAAACAGAAAATCTGTATAAAAATACCATGGTGGTTTAAGGCAAAGTGCTACAAGTTTAAAATATATTAACATTTTGTTAGCAATAAGAAATTATTGCATCATGAAAGACAGTGGTTTTTCTTTTGTCCTTTCATATAAGTTTCTCCAGTCTCGATGAAAATGGGAAGAATCAATATAAACTGGATCCAAAGCTGCCAGCTTTTCAGCATGTTTGCATCTCAAGTTCAACCATTTTTAAAGCTTTCTTCATTGTCAATTTTGGCTTGCGGTGTTTTCTGATGTACTAGAAAAAAAAGGGAAACAGATGACAAATAAAATAAAAAGTTTTTGATGTATTTGTTTTCAGTAATTTTTTTTTCAAGCATTCAATTTCTTTGCCGTTATATATATAAAACCATATATCTGTGTTCAACTGCAACATTCTAAAGTAGACCAAGATAGAAGATGAAGAGCTGGAAGAGGTCCAGGAATATATACACTTATGACAGGTGATTACATTAAAGAAAAAAATGAAAATGAATAAAAATACAGCCATAATGAAAAACACCTTGCCAATATGCTTAACACAAAGTGAATAATGAATCTGTAATACAGCTGCAAAATATGAAAATTAGCAAATTTGCTTAAAAGCAAACCCAAACAAATTGAAAGAGCAATGCTACGGATAATGTGGAGTGAGTATCCATGGTCAAATACAAATTAAATAATAGAACTGCAAAAATGAAAATAATATCAAGCAAGCAATATATGCAAAACAAATTAACAGTAAGAAGGAAAAAAAGTTCACAATCTAAGATTTGGCAGTGATGCACAAAAGCAAGTTTGAACGTAGTGTTCTTTCTTCTAGACAAAGCAGATCTGGATGAAGTCATGTCAAACTGCAAACTGGCCTATTTTATTGGCTAAGAAAAAAAAAAATCCCAGCATGCATTTGTGTGCCGCTGCCTATAAAAGGGTCAGGGTTTTGCAGTCATTCCGACTGAGATTGAAATCAACAAGTTCTAAGAGATAAAAAGAGATCCACTTGGCTTAGAGAACAAACCAAGATATAATAGAAGTGATTAAATACATAGCAACAAGGAAGAATAATATATTTCTGGTTGCATGATAGGTGTACAATGGGTAGTAAACATAATAAGGTAAATATCAGGCAAAAGATTGATAAATAAAAGAGTTGCTTACTGGTAAAATCGGGAAGAGAATAGCATGGTCAATATTCTAATAGAGGAGGGATTAAGGAAAGATCTCTGTCCAGCAGTAAACTCACAATATCTGAGAATGGTGAAATATATATATATTCCTCTCTCTATACATAGACTTACACAAAAATATATTTTCAACATTCAGACTCTTTATATATATATATATATGAAGAAATTAAAAATTATAAATTTATTCTAGTGTTCTCCCCCCATAAATATTGGTGATTTTTCAGCAATTCTATCCTTCTGCATATAGAAATTTTCTTCTCTGCAATTTTAGATGGTGAGTATATTATATTTTTGCCAGCTAATACATTAGTTTAGCTGAGGCGGTATAAATGTCTATCATATGAAACTTTTGGTTGCATGAAGGTGTTAGATAAGTACCTTTAATATCTATCTATCTATCTATCTATATTACCAACAATGATCATGATAAGTGAATAATCCTGAATACTTGAAGTCTAATTCTTACCTTTTTTGTTTCTTCTAAAGTTGTGTAGACATAATCAGGTGTTAATGCCTCAACAAGTGAATGATAAAGATACTTCTGAGATTCACAGAACTGACGTGTGAATTCTAATTGTTGTTTCATGATTTCATGCACAGCAACAAGATTAGACTGTGAGGGAAGATGGGCTGAAAGAGAAAAAACATTGAACTCAAGATCACCAAATTCCTGATGAGATAAATTGATCATCTACTGCAAATCAATGGTCACATTATTAATTGCAAGTTGTTTTGAGATTTTCAAAGGGACTATTTTCTCTATTAAAAATATTTTGATGAGCTTTCTTTCATCTAAATTTATTGCTTTTTATTACATTTTTTTCTTTTATATATAAGGTAACCCATAATAGACCAAGAATAAAAACAACAGGATTTTCTGAACCATGTAACAACAAAAGGTGCTTATGTTGTAACCATGTTAAACATACCAATTTGTTCACAAGCTCACTCACTAAATCTAGATTCAAAATCTACCACAACTCTAACTGTAGAAGTCATATCATAATTTACTTATTAGAATGCAAGAAACAATATGTGCAAAAATCTGAATGAACCTTTCACTACAGAATTAATAATTATCGGAATTGGATTAAGTCAGCTCCCCATGAAAGATTATTACCTGTAGAACAACATTTTTGCCCAGAAAACATGATTTTAAAAGCCACACAAAATTCACTAACTGAAAAAATAGAAATAGACAGAAAAGACAACCTTAGAAAAATACTAGAGGAACAAGAAGACACATGGATTTTGCATCTCAAAACACATGGTCCAGACAGACACAAATTTAACAACACAGAATTAATATATAATCCCATAAATCAAGCCCTACCCACATTTCTCACCCACACAAAATAAACATGCTTGCAGAGGTGTTGAGGTCTCACACATATACACATGCTCACACAAATACTTTCAAAAAACTAACACAAACACATCTCTTTGCCAGCAACCAATGAAACTGTCAAAATGACTAAAGAGGAAATTCTGACTCTCAGGAATCTCTCAGCTTCTATTGTAAAAACAACTTGAAAGAGGCCATTTAACCAATACAAGGACTGACCAAAATTAACAATAAAAAAACAAATGAAAACTACAGATAAAGTTCACTGCTACTAGAAAAAGCAGGGATTTTTTTCTCCTGATGATGTCCATGCTAGCCAAAATTAGTCAAGGAACCTAATTGAAATAATAAAATATTAATATACAACCCAGTGTGTATGAAAATTTTAATTTTTTAATATTTTTATTGTTCAAAATATGTGTGTGTGTGTGTGTATATATATATATATATATATATATATATATATATATATATATGCCATTCCTTCTTTAGCTGATAAACTAGACTGCAAATTTTCCAAATAAAGTAGTTTCAGAAAAACTGAAACTCACGTTCCCTATTTCAGGTTTGTCTGTCACAGATAATGCCATAACCAATTTGGTGAACAAAGACATTATGGTGAGGCAGTGTTCTTGAATTGACTATAAAAGAAGATCATTACTAATATGAAAGAATTAATAACACAGTGTAGAACAGAGTTATTAAGAAAAGACTATGGTAGTTAAATTTCATAGTCAAAGTGTGAGCTGACTAAAATATGCTGCAATAAAAAACAAAAAGATTAAAAAAATTATCAAAATATTTGTAAAACTTATAATTATTTCATAAATATTTTAAACTCTTATTTCCTTCTTTGTTGTTTTTAAGTTACAAGTTCAGCTGTTCTTCAGAAGGCTCCGACACAAGTCCCAACTTTATGTTGAATTTTCTCCTGAGTCTGTTTTTGGTAAAATGTGATATGGGAACTTATTATAATACACACATAGTCAAGTAAGACCTAAATGATTTTATAGGAGTCTAAAGTGTCTGGTGTTTTTATGGCCAGTGGTAAAGTCTACAAAGTAAGATCTTCAAAGCAGCCATCTGCTGATGAAAAAGAAATGGAGAAAATAAATAAAAATTTTCGGAATCAAGTGCCACATCACCAGAAGTTAGGAAGTTCCAGTCAGCTGGCTTATATTAGCAGTCACAGTTAGAATGAGCAGAGTAGTTACAGGCCACCTATAAGAGAGTTTCAAGCCATGTGTTGTGATGCAGAGATGGGTAGAGGGATATTCGGATAGAATCCATGCTGATGACAGAAGTAGCAGAATTTGTCTTAAGTGTCACCTACCTACCTACCTACCCCACAAACTGTGCCAAGTGAATTTCTGATTAAACAACCAAACATATTGAAAACAGCATTCACCTTTTTATTTCTCACCATCACATTAAATTCACCTTTCATTTTTCTTGTGAACGTACAAGACTCTTCCAATTTTTGTACACACTAATGCAAACAAGAGTCAACACACAACTTGAAGTGATTTGCCCAAGGTATGTTTCACAAAAACCCCAGCAAGGATGAGGATATTAGTCTGAATGACTTATGAAATAATGATGAGTCAATATATAAATGAATTGTCGTAATAAAAACAACAAAGATAGTCATCTGAATAAATATAATTTCATTAGTGGATTTATTTTATCATATTAGATTATCTTTTATCACAATACTCTGGGTCAAATACATGACAATAAAAACAAAAGCAATAAAGTTAGGAATAAAATCCTATTCATAGTAAATGTCATAATAAAATAAAAATATGTTAAATGCTTTGGACACTACTTAAATTGACTAGATCACTTATAAATTTTTTTTTGAATGCTTTTTGTAGATTAACCTTCATTAGACATTCCTCAAGCCACAGAATTTGTCAGAATTAAAAAAATATTGTTACTTTTTATCATTTGAGAAGGGGGGGGGGTGTTTATAATAACTTCTCTGTATTTTATCCCTAACTTATCTGTATTTTTTGTTTACAAATCTCAAGTTTGAAACTGTGCCTATGTCATTAATAAAAGCATATTACTGATGATGGCCTTTTTCCCAATGTGTAATAGTACAGTTATCAATGATGTAAGTACAGTTTCAAACTTGACATTTGTAAATAAAAACATAGTACAGATAACTTATTAAGAAGTCAGGGATCAATTTGAGACTGCATTTATATTATGAACAGGACACCTCCTCCTAAAATGATAAAAAAAAAAATCAGTATTTTTGATTCTGATAAATGCTGTGGCTTGAAGAAGGTCTAATGAATACCAAGATACAAAAATTATTCAAAAAAAATCTTTTATAAGTGGTCCAATCAATTTAAGTTGTTCCATGCTTTGTTTATAAATTCTGATAATGAACCAATCCAAATAGAGAAATAATGACAATAACTTTTTATCTCAGAATTTTGAACGTATTTACCATTGAGACAGCGATGGCCACACATGTGTGGAGTCGCAGAAATGACGGGTTTTCTTGATTCAGTCATTAAGGGTCGACCCTTCCAGTCTTGATTTGCATACAAAGAATTCCAAGGTGAAGCTTCAAGTTTAGCCTGAATGAAATCCAACTCATTTGTCTGTGTTCCTTCATTGCAAACTCGGATTATCTTTGGTGTACTCGTTTTTCTCCTTGACCTTCTACTCTTGATCTTCTGCTTGGAACTTTGATACCTGTAAACATAAAAAACAAGAAATATTGGAACATTTCATTGTCAAAGTAGGTTTGCCAAGAGTTTGTGTCCTGACTAAACCAGGGGAATTATTTCTGTTAGTATTTTAGTGTTAAAATTTGTTGACTTCACCCCCACCCCCTTTCCCGCCAATTATTTTTGGAAAACTTTTCATTTGTTTTTAATATAGTAACTAAAAAACTGAGGCACCTTGAAGTATACAAGTGGTGGATAAAACCTCTACCAGACATATGAGTCGACAAGTGGACTCATTTCAAGCTCAGAAGAACATAAAAAAAATCAAGACCAATGTATAAACACGTCTGTAGCTGGTTTTTGAACATTATGTTTTGGATGTGTTTATTCGTCCGTGTCTGGAAAAGACACTTTTGGTAAAAACATATATGCACGTTTACACCAGGGAAGGAGTTAAAGTAATAATTTTGGATGACACATGTTAATATGTGTTTGAATTTTTATTTTTGAGAATGAATTCAGAAAAGTTTTTAGGTAAAGCTTGATTTGATTAAAATACAATGAATAAACAAAAATAAATATATTCCTCATAAAATCTTGATTGGTTTTGACAAATGATTATTTTTTACATTGATGATTTCTTAATCTTTCAGATTGTTAAACTTTACCCAAAGTTTTGAGGTGAAGCTTGATTTGAGGATGAATTTTCCTTCATTGTTTTAATCACTGAATTCCAGTCAGGATCTAATGCAGCATTTTCATCTTTGCTGTTTTAGTTTTCACATTTCTACTGTGACTTGATCAGTTTCTGAAGATTGGATAGAGAGAAAAAAAATTGCACATTGGAAAATCATATTGTTATATACAACCATGGAAGGCTAGAGAGTTCACCTGTCAAAACATGTTGATCAAAACAACAAAGATAATATGGTGTTAATGTTTTTAACATGAAAGGGAGTGAACAGAAAAATATATGAACTTTGGAAATAAAAATAAATTTATGGATTGCTGATTAGTGGCTGAGGAAGCTAAAATCATCAGTTTTTAAAGAGTCTAGAAAAAGATCATTTTTTTCCAATGTTGATTTTCAAAGCAAGTTGACCCTTCCCACTTTGAGTAGCAACACAACACACTCTTCTCCTCTCTCTGATTAGTGTTGAAAGTAGTTGCTTAATCAAGTGATCAGTTTTTAAAAAAAACTTTCATAAAAAGATTTCCAATGCTGATTTTCAAAGCAAGTTGGCTCTTCCCATTTGAAATACTGACAGAACATAATCTTCTTCCTGGTCTTTCTTGGCCTTGAAGGATGTTGCTAGATGTACCAATGTACACAGGGAAGTGAATACAGCTTAACTTAGGATATACAGACACACACACACACACACACACACACACACACACACAAATAATAAACAAATAACAGGAAATTATATAACTACTCAACTTGTGAGGGGAGAGCCAGAATTTATTACACCCTTGCATGAAGATTGAACAAAGAAATATGCAACTACTGCACCCACCAAGCAGAAACAAGAAAAATATCAACAAAGCTTATTTTAATCTTGCCTAGGACCACCTGTGGATGGGAAGATTATGTTGTGCTAATCTTACAAGTAGAAACAAACAGCCTGCCTTGCAGATTGTTATTTAACATTTTAGCTTTGATTTTAAATGTTCAGTACAGACTTACGAGCTCATTTCAGTGTTGGAAGCAGATAGGACAGCGTCATGAGACAAAGTTTCTGTTCCCATGTCTGAGACAGTATGAAAATCTTCTGTGTAAACATTTTGATCAGATTCTGAAATATTTGCAGATACAAAGTCTTCTGAATAGTCATCTGCAACTGATGAAGAATGTTTTCTGCTTGATGGCGTTCCCGATCTCTGTGTGTAAATCTCAGACACGACTTCAGTGACAGACTCCTCGTGGTGTGAACTGGTCACTTTAAGTGACCCAGTATCAAAACTTACTGATCGATGCTGGCCTGATGAGAGTTGAGTTTGAGGTAGAAGGTCTTCAATTGTTTGAAGTCCAAAGGAAGAGAAAATCTTATGTTCTTTACTGTGAACTTCCTCGGTTATAGATTTGTCAGAACTATTTTTACTTGAAGGCTTTGAGGAGTGTCGAGATGAGTGTCTGGAAGAATGTCTAGAGGAATGCCGAGATGATTTCCTGGAGGAATGCCGGGCCAGCTTAGAATGGTGTGATTTTTTCCTTGGGGATATTTCCTTCTCCTGTTTTGTCTTTTCCATTTTGTCTTTCTTTCCAGAATCTTGCAAAGATGATCTGAAATCATCAACACTGAACAAGTTCGCTGAAATCAGAAAATGAAAGCAACTGCTGAATCTACCAGGAAGTGCAAAAAGAAAAAAAAAAAAAAAAAAAGGAAAGAGACACTGAGCAGTGACAGTCTGTTTCATGCTTGAACACAATCTTCAGGCCATGTGTATTTTGGGTTGGCTCAACTATTTATATATGCTGGTCAATAGTGCATTATTGGTAGTTAGGTTTATTGTGCAATTTTAATGGTTATTGGGTAAGGTGATAATGGTTATCTTATGTTCAAGCTTGAAACAGACTGTAACCACTACTTGGTACTGCCCACTTTTATATTAATATACTCTCTATCTATCCCTGATATTGAACACTTTAACCCATAAATATAGCACATATATATATATATTTATTAAAGACATATTTTTATGTTTAACGTTGTTATTTTATAGATACAAGTATTTAAGCAAATGCTCTGTTTATGATAAACAGTATTAAATAACATTTACCGGCCTGAATGTCCGAGAATGTTATTTAATACTGTTTATCATAAACAGAGCATTTGCTTAAATACTTGTATCTATAAAATAACAACGTTAAACATAAAAATATGTCTTTAATAAATAAATTGTCGGACCTTGTCCATTTCTTAATATATATATATATATATATATATACACACCAAACTAGAGCATAGCCTAAAATTATATTTTTATCATTATAAAATCCATTTATATATATGATTACTTAAACAAAATGTGATTGATTAAAATATGATTTCCTGACATACTGATATCTTCATGGGCCATGTAACTATTTCTTTTTTTAATGACACCAAATATAATTAACATTTAGTATTAAATTGTGCAAATTTCCTATATGAAGTAGTCATTATGTTAAGTGAGTGTTGATGGTTTAATATAAATAAATGGTAGAACTGCCCAACAAAAAGAATTGACAAAATTTGCAATAAACAACAAGAAGAAAAATAAAAAATAAAGTATAGTAATATGTAAATGAGGTACTGTATAAAAGGCAGTATTGCTATACCTATGGGAGAGTTATTTTCTTTTGATGAGACTACATCTGTCAGAGAGAATACCTATCATAACAATATGGTGTTGCCAATTGGTTACTTAACCATGATGGAATATGCTGAATATGTAGAAACCTGGCTTAGGCGTTTTGCAGCATCAGTGAGAGTAAAAAAAAAGTTAAAGGACACCTATGCTAGTGGAGGAGAAAATGAAGTTACAAATTTGTTGTTGGCCTCAGTCATGTGTGAGGCCATAAAAAAAATCTCCATCATGGTCTATCTCAAAGTGTTGCCCGATTTAGTGTATGAAAAAATTGTTGCCATCATGAAAGCAAATATAGGAACAAAAAAAAAAAAGATTAGTCATAGTGGGAAGAAGTAAATTTCTCAAAAGTAGACAATTGAATGAAACTATTGTGCAATAGGCACAGTGATTGAAAGAAATGTCAAGATATTGTGAGTTTGAAAGAATGGGTTCAAAACAAATGTTTATCAAAGACAAACCTTACTAAAACTGACTGAAGGAATGTTTGACATCACACACAAGCATGAAATTCTAGAATAAATTCAAGCTTAAAATATGAATCTGGAAGTATGTGTGGAGTTCTTAAAACAATTGGAATGGATTAAAAAATTTAATGCCTTTGAAGGCATCATGGATACTTACAGTGCTACTAAAAGCTTACTTGTATGCAGATATTGCAATAAGGAAAATGAAAAGAGCAAAAATAAGTATCTGGCCTTTGGAAAATGGTGTTTTAAGTGTAAAAAGAAAAATCATTTGCAGATGGTATGCACATATGAAAAGTGAGTAGAAAAGTGGAAAATATAAATCCTTCAATTGAAAATGCGGAAGTATTTGAGATAAAAACACAGGATAAAAATAAGGAAATGGTAAAGTTGAATGGAGTAACTTTACTCATGCAGGTGGATACTTCAAGTGATGTTATGTTGATACCAAGGAATTTTGGGGAAAGAATAGGTAGACTAAAGTTAAAGAAAAGTAATCTCCACTTCAATGGGTCAATCTTAAAAATTTTAGGATGCTTTGAAGGCACATTTGAGACAAAAAAAGATTTGAGATAATGCCCATCATAATAGTGGAGAACATCAAAATCCACAGTCTTTTACGTGTCAAGAGTGGATATATCGAAGCTGATGAATTCCATGAAGTCTGTAGAACTGGATGTTGGATTATTAAGGGGATATGAGGTGAGTATTTGGTTTAAAGAAAGCAATCAACCCATGTATTTTCAAGCTTGAAAAGTTCCTGTTCATATACTACACTTGGTAGTTGCTAAGATGAACAAATTGGTGGAACAAGGAATATTAGAAAAAGTCAGCTAGGGTGGTAGCAATTGGACTTCACACATTGTGGTGATATGCAAGCCCAATGGAGATTTAAGAATAAAGGTGGGCGTGAATCACCAGATATTTTCAGATTCATTCTCAATGCCAAACATTGAAACAGCATGCTATGAATTTTCTTGTATGAATTACTTTGCTGAAGTTGAACTTAAGTCAGCATATAATCAGATAAAAATTGATAGCAAGTTTCAAGAAATCACCACAATGAACACACCTATTCGATTAATAAGATGGTCTTGTTTGGCCTTTGAAGTAAAAATATCAAATTATATTTTCCAAAAATCTATCAAAAAAGTTTTAGAGGGGATTAAAATATGATTGTATATCAGGACAACATTGGCATTGGTGTGTGCAGTAAAGAAGAGCTCAAAAGCAAAATGGAGCAAGTTTTGAGAAAGTTAAATGGCGTGGGTGTGACAATTGTGATAAATGCAAGTTTAATTGTGAAAAAAATTTGTACCAAGGATATCAAATATCCAAAGACAGTATATCACCAGATGATAAACTCATTAATAAGATATCAGAGATTGCTGCACCCAGAAATAAAAGAGTTAGAATCTTTTTTTAGGATTAACCAATTTCTATAACAGATATCTACTGTGATATAGTGATCTGGTGGAACCATTTAATGAAATAAGAAAGAATACCGAGTTTAATGGACAAAAAGACAGGAAGTTGCTTTTGAGAAATTAAAAAAGGCACTGATAAACAAACCAGTTGTTAAAATATTCAACCCAGTGAAAGAATTGACGTTAACTACTGATGCTAGTGACTGTGCTATAGCCACAATATTGCCGCAGGAGGATCATCTTGTACTTATCCAGAAATGGGTTGTTCGTAGAAGTCAAAGATCAACTAAAAGTATAAAGCCTCTTAGGTTCAGGGAGGTGTAGTGATATGTAAATGAGATACTGTATAAAAGGCATTATCGCTATACCTACGGGAGAGTTATTTTCTCTTAACAAGACTACATCTGTCAGAAAGAATATCTATCAACAAAAAAAACAGGACAAAAAATATAACACAAGCAAACTATATGCAAGGCAAAGCAACAGTAATATGGCAAAAAGTTCACAAACTAAGAATTGGGGTTAACATAAAAGAGCAAATTCCAATAAGCAAATGTAGTGTTCTGACAGACTGGGACTGAGTTATAGGAAACTGAGAATTGGCCTATTTTATTGTCTCAGAAGAAATCCCAGCATGCATTTGTGTGTTTCTGCCTATAAACTGGGAAGGAGAAAATATTTTGCAGTCATTCCTAATCAGGATTGGAACCAATAATTAATAATTAATCTGTTTTTCTTCCTTTTTATTTTTGCTGCTTGTTTATTTTCTTTTAGTCTCATCACTCCCTAAAAGTGAGTTTCTAAAATCACAATCTCTTTCCAAGTAGGCATGTGCAAATTCCAATCAAACTTTGCAGTGATGACATTTGAGTAATGTGAGTTGGGCCAAGAACTTTTCAGCATCCCTTCATACAACAATAACAATAAAACTCAATTTCTTTTTTTTTTTTGATATGTTGAATATATCAACAATAAAGATAGCTAATTTAAGAAATTTTATTTACACCCTAACAGTGACTTTTCTTGCAAGACAAACTAAACAGAGACAGCACCTCTGTCGAAATGTTAAGACTAAAAAAAAAGCAAGAATATCACCATGTTCATAATAAATCAGTTAAAGCTGGAAAAGTACAAATGTCACTTAGAATTTCCAACTGAATTCATGTTGATATTGTCATAATATTAACCTTTATCACTCTGTAGGGGACTTCATATGCTGTACAAAAAGTGTATCCTGCCACTGAAGGTGACACTGATTCCTGAATTTGAATCTGTTTGAATTTCATAGTTGTGTTGTCATATCATGCTATGGCAAGAGAAAACACCTTTGAGTGAAATTAACAATAAGGTCTCTGCAATTGAGGAGACTTGAAAAAGAATGCAGCGGAAAGGGAAGTAATATTAATAATGTAGTGTGCTAAAGGTTAATGACAATGCTATGCTTTTTTTAGTTTTTAATGCCATGTCTCTGCAGGATGTAAGCAATCATGACTCTCTATATAGTCCTTTATTATATGTGAATTGCCATGCATTCTTGGGAAATACAGTGGAGTGATTTCCCATTGCGTTCTCCAGAGTTTGGAATTCAGTTTTCTCTCTATTACTCTGGTTACCAACCAAGGCTAGATAGTCGAATCTACCATGCTAATTAACTGGAGGGAGAAGAAATGGATTCATCACTTACCCAATGGCATTAGTGCAAAAGTGAATGCAACGAAGCTGCTCAGAATTTGAACTTGGGATGCCCATTCAATTCCCTGCATCACTATGTATTACACCACCCCACATCAAATGCTATGCTTATTGTCAATGCTGGGGTAATATATAATATTACGCTTACTATTGCCATTTGGTTAATTAACTAAAGAGATCCACAGCACTAAATTAACAATTCCCTTATAAGAAAATGCTGTATTGATTTAGGAGCACAAGCTGAAACCTTAAGGGCAAAATCCAGAAAACATTAGCAGCAAATGCATTTTCTATTAAAATGGGATGCTTATTATTTATCGACAACTTAAGTGTAACATTCCTCATTAAGTCTGGTATTATTACCAAAGAGCCACTCAAGTTATAGGGTTAGACATTAGAAAAGAGGAAATATAAAAAGAATTTCCAAGATCAAGTAGAGAATATATGCATCAGACATGCTTACATTGTGAAAGACATCCAACAAAATCTGACGATATTGAGAGGTATTGTTGACGCACCATTGATGTTTCAGCTCCCAAATCATAAAAAAAATACCAGTCATCATCTAATAAAACACTATAACTTTCAACAGTAAGTGTATAGAGTTACCGTAACTCTGCTGGACTGATTCCCAGCAAATGAAGAAATGTCCTTTGCTATTAGAAGACAGAAGTATAGTATATAAAGAGAAAAGAAATATGTACACATTTCGTTCTTTACTGTTAACTCACTGTGATCAGCTTTGTGTTCTTCCTCCAGTGGTTCTTCTTCTACTGTTTCTGCTCGTAGGGATTCTGCAAGTGTCAAGTCTTCTGTGACAGAATGAAGATGCTTCACTGTCCGAGCGGCAAAAGCTGGAGATGGTGAACGAGAGTTTTGATTCCGTAAAGATGGGGAAGGACTATGGATCTGTCTTGGAGATGGAGACCGTTTTAGAATGGAAGGCTTTCGTTCTATACTTGAATTTCTTGAAAGTCTCCCCTGAAGAGAATGATGAAATGATGCATTTTATATTTTCACACATGTTACATTTTGAGAAGAGAAACTAACAAATGACTGCATAATATTTGATGTGATATGTGAAAAAAAAAAAAAAAAAAAAAAACTGACATGACACCCACTAGCATGTGAAGATATGACACTCAAAAAAAACTATCAAACATATACCATGCATACCTTAACTACAGACACAAACCGATCAACCCATAGAAAAAAAAGTTTGATAATGGCTTATGAAAGCTGAAAGTACTCACGAGACATTGGGTAATTTATATTTAAATCCTTCACAAAAATAGAAAAATGGTTCAAACCAAAGAAAACTTAAATTAAAAAAAAAATTTTAAACAAAGAACTTCCTTCAAGCAATCTTGAATAAATTAAAAACTACACACACACTCATATATATTTTAGGATATTCCACCAAAAACATGTCAAAATTGCTACTCAATTGCAGTCGTGTTTTAATGCGTATCAATTCATTCTCATCTTTCATATTTATATATATATATATATATATATATATATACACAGAGACCTGGTGCACCGAATGCCACAAGGTTCCCAAACGACCCTTCGCAGGTTTTGAATTCAGAGTTGTCCTTCTCCTAGACCAGTTGCCATCCAAGGCTATAGAACCCAGTCTGTCCTGCTATTTTACCCATAACTGGAGGAAGAGGAAGAGGATTCGTACCTTTCCCAAGGGTATTAGCATGTAAGTGAATGTAATGGATTCGACTGGAATTCGAACAAGTGTGGATGGTCCTGCACGAGGCCTTCACCACTATAATCAAATCTCATGTGCCGGTGTCGGGCTGTCGGTTTCCTGGAAACTGCTCTGCTTGACCCTCATACGTCGAATCTCGATGGGAGAGTCGATTATATATATATATATATATATATATATATATATATATAATCAAGATAAGAAAAATTAAAAAGATTTATCATATTATTTTAAGACCAATTTCAAGTTCCACAGATACACCACTCATCAAGATCTGCTAAAACTATTGAATTCATTAGCAGATATTATATTTATATATGTGGCAGGAGGAAATCCAAATAATACAAATTTGTTCTTTGCTAAAAAAACATTATCTTGTGACAACATTTAAAATGTACTTTAACATTAAATTTAAATTATTGAATAAATATTTAATCCTACATTTTTCTTGCTTCAAACATTATAAATGGACACTTATATTTGCAATAGATATCCCCTACAGACGTAATACACACTATTTAAAATAAAAATAGTGCATCTATCTCAAATAGTATCTACAATAATAATGGCACAGGGCAGTGATGTTTGAAGTAATATATATATATATATATATATATGTAGAAATAAATTATTGTCAATGTAATAAATTATATCAACATTCTATCTTTCGATATCAAGTACTGTAATTATAAAAGCTGCTTACCTTAAAATATCTTCCAGAGATACACTGGTTTAACATTTTCCTTTTTTTTAAAATACAATCATTTCATATATATATATATATATATATATATATATATATATATAAAATACAATCGTTTTATATATATATATATATATATATATATATATATATATATATTAGGACCTTGAATAAGTTCTCACTGATTTTTTTCATGACAAGTAATGTTTTATTTACAAAAATTAGTAAGAAACATGTCACTGAAAGTATTGCCCATCGCTAGCCACTACTTTTTCCTATCTTTCTGGCAGCATTTGTATTCCACATTGGAAAAGCAACACGTTTTCTGATGCTAACCATGAGTCAACCCATTTTTTGCCATCTTTATAAGAGTGAAAGTGCTGCTCAGCCAGGCCATGTACCATCGATTGGAATAAGTGATAATCAGACAGGGCAATGTCTAGTGAATACGGTGGGTGGGGTAGGACTTCCCATTTAAGAGTTTCCAAGTAGGTTTTTACCTGTCTTGCAACATGTGGCCTCACATTGTCATGTTGAGTGTCTGCTCATATAGCAGACATTTTTTCTTTAATACTTGGCTCAAACGTATCAATTGTAGTTGATAGCAATCTCCTGTAATGGTTTCAGTCAGTTTGAGCAGCTCTTCATAAACTACACCTAGCTGATCCCACCAAATGATTCTGCAAGTTCAGTTTGTGCCTGACATGAGTCTTCATGAAGTAATGCCTCCAATTCTTTGTCTTCAAACTGTTTTGGTATGTCAGAGCGTTCTTTATCTTCAATATCACAATCATTATTTTTGGAGCATCTAAACCAATCTCTGCATGTTGTTTCTGACAGAGCATGGTCACTGTAAGGCTCAACAAAAATTCTGTGTCATTCAGATGCAGACATTTTTGAATAAAGCAGTGCAGTAAAATTCCCCACAAATACACTTTCTTTAGCATAAAATCCAACATGATTAACTCTATAAAAAAAGCTGTTTACACTTTGGCAAAATGACATACACTGAATTTCAAGCTTGCTTATAGTACTTCCTTATAGATGTGTTACCATCTGGAACTACAATGCGTGCAGTCCTGGGAACGCCATCTGTTGGAAAACAGCAAGAACTTATTCAAGATCCTTATATATGTGTGTGTGTGTGTGTGAATGTATGTGTGTGTGTGTGTGTGTGAAATATACATGGAAATAAAAATCATAACAAAAGAGTAAAGACCATGTTTTTTTTAAATAGATTATCAATGTGGATTTTAGCTATTTATTAAGCTTAACTTATTTTGGTACAGGTTCATCATTTGGGAGGAACCAAAAAGGATCGAACTCTTTACAGGTGCAACAATATGCACGAATAATTCACTAAATAACAGTTAATATTTTTTTAAAAAACGAAAAAAGTTACTAATGTAGATCGAACAAGAAATAAACAAAAGTTGTCGCCCTTAGATAATAAAGCAGCGATGATTTCTCTGCAAAATGATTATTTTGGGATTCAATCTTTCCAAATATTTTAAGCGGAGGAAATTTTTTCAGTATTTTTTTTTAAAGTCTCAACTTATAAACAAGTATAGTAGTATTTATTTTCACTATGAGGAATTTTTCTGAATGTTTTTTTTAGTTTTAGTCAGGTTTTGATCCTTTTGTCTAATTTACTCACCATAAGCTAACACTAGGACCTAAGAGATAGACAACAGAGCTACTTACATTTTGCTGTGGGACATGTTCCTTGTGAACAGGCACATTGTCAGGCAGGCTTAACTTGCCAATAAATTCAGCCATACTTTCGTCATCTGATGACAATACAATGCTTGTGGAAAGCATGAGAGAATTTTTTCTTCCAAGAAATGAATCTGAAAAATATAAACAAGAAAAAAAGGAAAGGTATTTGGGGAAAAATGGAAACTCTACTGATTATTTAATAAATGGATAGACTGTATCTATCCCTTTGTTTTACTGATCCTGACATTATGGATGATGATCTCATATGCATTACTCGTATGTGCCTTTTTTTTCTACTTTCATCTGTCGCTGTAAATTCACAAATCAGAGAAAAAAAGTGAAATTAAAAGAATTAATAAATGAAAATAAAAATTTGAAAAATACCAAATGCAAAACACACAGACGAAGCTACATTTGCTGTGATTCAAACATTGATGAGTATAATAGATTTTTTTATGGCTTATCAACCCTTTGTAGGTTATTTAAAGCTGAAATATTTTTTATTTGTAAGAATCTTTTGTTTTTGTGAGTGAATATTGCATTAACAATATTTTATAGAATACCAATGATTTTTTCTACATAGAATCCTACTATTTAACCCATAGCTGAGAAGAGGAGATGGATTTATACAATTCCCAAGGGCATTTACCTGTAATTGAATGTAACGAACCTGACTGGAATTCGAATTCGGCTCTGAGATAGTAATTTGAAAGTATCATCAAATAATGATAACATTCCACAGACAATACTAGGAAAGCTGGAGAACAATCTGGTAAAAGTGTAATAATCAAAACAACAAAGGTGAGGATAACCCCCACAGAAGACTAGTCAACAATAATGTTTAAAAAGAATTTGTAATGGCTATATTGATTTCTTTTGGCATAGAATAATGAAGGTTTGATGAACCAAAGCCAACAAAATCAAGTTATTTTCAATTAATGGGGTGTGTCCTGCCATGATATTATAGTTGGCATAACAATTAACACCATAGAGAATAGTTTTGTTGGACTCTGGTGAGGATAGTTTGTATTCATTTTGTACTAATGCCTTTAGGCAAAGTATGAATTAACTTCTCCTTCCCACTAAAAAAAACTATGGGTAAATAGTAGGGTAGCTGGAGTCCTTTAGTTTTGTAAGGTAAACCATTTTGGACATCAGGTTAGTAACCTAGCCTCGTAAAAATCTGCTTGCTACTGAAACTGCAGCAGCTCCATCTGGTGTGGTTGCAACCCTCTGATCTATAAGGAGACTGTAGCAAGCAAAGAAAAAATATTCTGCCATGTCTCATCAACTCTTTAACATTTGTTGAATAATTCTGTACTTTCTACAAAATTCTATTTTTTATATTTTGCTAATTCAATATATATATAAAACACAATATGACTATATGTTTATCAGTCATACAACAGGGTTTCACTACTAAGTAATGAGATATTCAGTTGTTATAGTAACACAGGACACTTTTCAATGCCACTTGAAACGAAAAAGCTGCGTTTTTGTTTTTATTTATTTTGTTTCACATTAGCATTCTTTAGATATTTTTAATGCTTTAAGGGATAGAATTGTTTATGATTGTCATGTTTCAACATAAAGTTGTAGTCAAGGGAAGCAAATTTGAATTATTTAGAGTTAAATGGAACTTTAGGTTGTTAAATAACATGCAACAACTGAATTATTTTTATAATAATCTACATATGTATGATTCAATATATGTAATTGTTTTTGCTTGTGTAACAAATTCTAATTGTTATTCGTCTGCTGATATAGAAATATAAATTATTCAGTGGTGGGTAGAATTTTATTAGTTCAGTATTCAAAAAATATTGAAAAATTTAAAAACGTTTTTGATGTTTTACTGATTTAAGAGGCAATTTTTTTTTTATGGTTGTCACGTCTCAACTGGCAGTTGCAACCAAGGGAGGTAAATCTGAATTGCTTAAGTGTTAAATGAAACAAGATTGTGAAATAGCATGCAACAACAGAGTTAATAATTGTTTTGTTTGGTTTGTTTTTTTTAGCAACATATCGAACGGTTATTTAATGCCGAAATCTAAATATTTTGAATGTAATTTTATGGCTTCAACTACATATATTTTGTACATAATTTTATACTTTCAGATATACTATAGATATATAGTTTGTAGATTATCTATTGTAGGTGTTACTAGTGTTATGTTTTTTAGTATATTCATTAAGGTAGGATATTATTTTTAGATGGTTTCAGTATTTTCAATTAGTTTTCTCGTGTCATATCTTCTTTTCAAATAATCTTACAAAATCAAACAAGGGGTGAAAACTTGTTTCTCTTTACAAGAAATGAGATCAATCAGAGCAAGTGTTTTTTTTTTGTTTTGTTTTTTAACAATGTATGGCACAACTTCAATTTTACTATAAAATGTATTGTTGTTCATTTTGCTATAAAAATGTGTTCCTTGTAACTTCAGTACAAAAATGTATTGTTGGTAATTTTTTTTTTTTATAAAAATGCATTGCTGGTATTTTTATTTTGAAAACGTATATTTATACTGTATAGTATATAGTTTATAGTGTTTTTATTTTTGTTTGGAGAATTCTCAATTTGCCCATAGCTGGGACCATAACAGGTGCTTCCACCTCAGGCCATAGTGGACCTGGGAAAAACATCAATTAAGAGGTGGTTCCATACCCCTCAAAACCTCCAATGTCCCTATCAGAGGCCTTGCTGCCAGATGCAGTTTATCATCATATTCAGGACTAGTAAATGGTTGTGTAATAACTTACATATATAAATGCAATGTATATGAAGATATAATATATCATAATTATTCAGTATGTCATTTGTTTAGTTTGATATTCAGGAAGTAATAAATACAAAAACTGAAAATGAAAGACAAGTTTTTGGTAAGCACAACACAACAGCAAAATTACTTAAATATTTTCATCATTTTTTGTTAGTACAGTTTTAATCATAGTTTAATCCTAATTTTCCCATCATACTTTCATAAGTGACAGATATTCTCAAACAAAAAGTGAAAAACTTCACGGTTATTTTATTTACTTAATTCTGTCAATAACCAGTCTCCCACTGACACCAGTTGGTAGATTTTGTTTAGTGTCATATATCAACCTCTATGGGTTATTTAATGCCAAAATCTAAATATTTTGAACACAATTGTATGCCTTCAACTACAGTTAAAATGTATTGTTGATCATTCTACTATAAATAGGTATTGTTGGTTATTTTTTATATAAAAATGTATTGCTAGTATTTTTACTTTCATAGTGTTTTTTGTTTAGGGGATCACTATCATAACAGGTGCTACCACCCCAGGTCATGGTGGCCCTGGGAACAACCGCAATTAAGAGTTGCTTCCACTCTCCTCAAAACCTCCAATCTCACAATGAGAGGCCTTGCTGCTGGGTGTAATTTATCGTCATACCCATGACTGACCCTGGTAGGAAATAATCAGGTCATCAAAGCTTATAACTACCATGGCTTACATATTTACTTCAAATGACAGTGAACAGTAATCAAATCCAAGGTAAAAATCTGTTGCTTTCAATACTGATTTTTCAAAGTGGACATACATAAAACTGCTTGAATGATCAGTGGTATCATAGTAAGCAAAGTTTAATAAATAGAATAAAATAAATACATTTCTTAAATCCCTTGAAAAGTATCACCTACTTATTACCTCATTAACACCAGCATTCTTAAGGACAGGTTAAGCTAATAACCGTTTCTGAAATCAGATACTTTAATAAGCAAAACAAAAGATTATTAAAGACTACCTAAATAAAATACAATCTTACACACTCACCACGCGCTTGAAAACTTACTGGCCTCAATATAAAAGCAGAAAAAGAGGGCTTCAAGGTCAGTCCTCTCTACCCTTTTGCCAGAAAATGGGGCAGGCTAGTCCACTCCAATCTAACCACCAAATAACTAATCAGGACTACCTGTTACAAAGAAAGAGAGATGTCAATCACTCTCCCTTTCTCTCTCAGTTCCAACATAGTGCAAACTACAAACTCCATTGTATAATTTTTTTTTTTAAGGCAATTCACCCCAAGCAAGGCGGGAGTGCCACTAGCTCACAAGGGTTTACAGAAGATTGAAAATAAGAGTAAAGAGTCGTGTTTGAGAAAAGGATACAGAATGGAATGGGGAACAAGCTCAGGGTGTCAGATGTTGACTGACATTACACTTGAACATTTGAAGATTATAGACATCAGGGAAGCAAGTAAGGGGAAGGGAGTTCCACAGATGGGAAGTGTGGGAGAAGCTGTTTGAGAAAAGACGATTACATTTAACCATTTTGACAGTGAAAAGTGGTACGGAGATGCCAGCCTGGTAGTTCGTTTGAATTCATCTAGTTTTATTCATAAAAAAAGAAAATAAGCCATCCAAAACAACATTCGCTCAGCATTAATTCATTTAAAAAACAAAAAAACAAAGAAAAACAGCATTCTGCACTGATCTTCACAGTGCACACTCTTCTTTTTCCTCCAACTCCATCTTGTACCTTACTAAGCAAGTAAATATCAATAACAGAGAGACTTTAGTTAAATACAATCATCTATCTATTTAAATCTAACATCCTGTCACAGAGCTTAGCTATGCATTTCCCACCAGGGCAAGTGGCCAGTGTTCAAGTTTTGGTAAAATGCCAAAATTTCACCTACTGATTTTAAAGCAGGCAAGTAGGCTTCTCCAAAATTTGTAAAGTTGGTGTGACACAATCTTTTTTTTTTTTATCTGTTAATCTTTGTGGCAGGCTAAACTAAGTTTAATAAATATCAATAACTAGTCTACCCATGCTGTCAAAAAAAAAAAAAATAAATAAATAAATAAAAGGATATTATATAATACTGATATTTTAGGTCTATAATATAATGAGGTTTTCAAATATCAAAGACTTTAAATATATTTTTTCCTATTTTGTTAATGTTGTATACTACTCTCTCACAAAGTTATTTTTTCTGTTTTTTTCTTCTCTCTTCTCAGCTCCATAAGCATCTTAGAATAGATCACCAATCTCATAACAAAGACATTGCCACCTGACATCACAAGTGAAAAGGTGATAACTATAATACAGTAAAAACTAATAGGCAATAGAGACAAAAATAACATACACTTGATGAATTAGATATATTAGTAGCCATTAATTAGTGACCAGTTTTCATTATTTTACTTGTGGAAAGCAAAATATAAAAAAAAATGTTTACAAAAACCAAATTCATACTACAGGTAGATGAAAAGTCAAGAAAATATCATTTTAGAAAGAAAATATTAAATTTAGTCCTCAGCCTGTTGCTGTAATTACAAAATCAAGTATGCAAGTCGTGATGGCATCAGTTCTCAACTCAATATCTATGCTGATGATACAACTATTTACTTCTGTCTTAATAGTAAGTGTTCAGTTCAATAAGTTCATATTGGCAGATGATCTAAATAATGACCTACAATCTGTTATTAACTGGGGCAAGGAATGGCTTGTTAATTTTAACACATCCAAAACAAACTGCTCTTTTTTAATCATCTGAGAGAACATTTTTTTGCCTTCCATCAGTGTGGTTGATGCTAACCTCCAGGAGAATGACTTATTACACCTTCTTAGGCTAATGTTTTCCACTGACAAAGTGGAAAGATTATATTGAATCAATTAAAGGTCTGCTACTAGGTAAGTTGGTTCATTGTGTTGTGCTAGACAATTTTTCTCAACAGAATCTATCTTAAACATTTATAAGTCTACCATTCATCCATGCACTGAATATTGCTGCCACAACTGGTCTGGTGTTCATGCTATGTATTTAGAGATTCTGGATAAAATCCAAAGAAGAATGTGCAATGTTATTGGCGTTGACCTGGCATCAGTTTCAGTCACTTTCCTGTCACCGTAATGTAACTTCCCTGTGCCTCTTCTTTAAATATTTTCATGGTAATTTTTCTGATGAACTTTATTCATGGTACCTAGACTTTATGAACTGAAGTTCAGTACTAGATTGGTGACAATGCCTCACCATTTTACAGTCAAAATGGTTATATGTAGCTGTGGCATTAATGAAACAGGAAAAAATTTCCAACTTACCTGGTATCTTTTCCGGCTTTGGCTTTTCACAGGCATCCTTATCGCTTTCTTTTATCTCTGCTGATTCTTCACGTGGCGGCTTCTTTAGAAAACGCCGTCCACTTTTCCGAAAATTCTTCTCAGAATCTGTATCACTTGAATTCTCTTTGTCAATTTGACCACCTCTCAAATCTTCATCGCTATCAATATTAAATGAGATTCTCATTGCTGACTTTGGACGTGGCTCAACCCCAGAAACACGCTGTTCTATTTTTTGGACCAGGGCAGATGCCCGATCAAGTGCACTTGAAGTCCGAGATACGGTGCGACCCCCTGTAAGTGGAACGGAAATGCGCCCTCTTGATGCAGGCCTCAACATTGAAGAAGGGTGTCCTTTTTGGGGAAATTTAGAAGACATGATAAATGGAGAGTCAGGAATTGTCTTTGGATGGAGCATGTCGAAATGTGCAGGTTGTTTGAAAAATCTATTTTTTGTCCAATCATTATAGTCATCCTTCTCATCATCATAATCACTACTTGACTTTGCAAATTCAATTTCAACATCATCACTTGACATGGAGATGTCACTCATGTCTTTGAACTTGACACTGTTTATACTTGTCTTTCTGTTCAAAGTGTTGAGATAATCCTGATATGAAGAAGACAAAACAAAATGACAGTTAATTAAGAGGAACATGTCACCAACTGGTTTGCAGAAATACAGAAAAAAAAGAAAAAAAAGCTACCTTCATCCAGTTCGATATAATAAACTTCTACCCCTTTATCACAGAAAACATATCAAACAAAGTAATACAACTAGCACAACAGCATGTACAAATCATGGATGATCAGATAAAAATAATCAAATACTGCTGAAAATTTGCTATTCCACAACAACGAATCATAGTCAAAAAAACAAAACAACAACCTGTTTGATGTAACAAAAGGAAGTTATGCCAGAGCTAAAAACCTGTTAACTAGTAGGTATTCTTATTCTTTCATACCGAGCCAAAATACTAGAAAACAAAAAGACATGGGCCTATGCAGAGACAACAGCCTCATCCTAATAAGAGAACCCAATGGTCCTAAAATAGATTCAAGAAAAAGATAATAAATATTCTAAAAATGATTGGACTCAAAATAGAAATAAAAGCAAACAAAAGAACAATAAACTTCTGAGATGTCACCCTCAACCTGGACAAAGAAACTTACGAACCATACAAAAAGGATAATGACACTCTCACATACATACGCACATCCTCTAACCACCTACCCTCAATTATCTAGCACATACCTAAATCCATCTGCATACTATCAGACAACTCATCCAGCATAGACATTTTCAACAACAAAAAAAACACTATAGCAACACATTAAAGAAAAAGCTGATACATGCAACATCTTGAATACACACCATCACAACCAAAATTGAAAACAGAAAAGAAATATAATTTGGTTTAGCCCACCATACAACAAAACTGTCAGAACAAACATCGGCAGAACATTCCTAAATCTTATAGAAAAACACTTCCAATAACAAGCCCCTTACCAAAAATATTTAACAAAAACAATGTCAACTACAGCTGCACTAAAAACATAACACAAATATTAAAAAACCACAACAAAAAACAACCTGCAATAGCAAAACAAAGACCCCCAATGCAACTGCAGAGACAAAACCACATGCCCACTACAAGGAAACTGCCTACAAACAAACAGTATACAAAGCTAAGGTCAATGCAAACAACACTACAATGCACTACACTGGCACCACAGAAGGAACATTCAAACACAGAAAATGCACACACAACCTCCCATTCTCCAACAGAAAACACTCCAACAGCACCACACTATCCACATACATATGGCAACTAAAAGACAAAAACATCACACCAAAAATAAGCTGGGAAATTATGAAAACCGTAACTGCCTACAATAACATACCAAGGAGATGTCAACTTTACCTGCCAGAAAAAGTAGCAATAATCACCACACACAACAAAAAACATTACTAAACCAAAGATTGGAAATAATCTCAAAATGCAAACATGAAAACAAATATTTAGTATCACAGTTCAAACCAAATGGGTAACACCAACAAAAACTGAACATAATGGGAAGGATCCTACCAAAAAAATAGTAGAACACTAAAACACCAGAACACTAAAACCACCACAACATAACTACCAACAGGAATCAATTACACCACCAGCACTGTTGCCAACACTATCACAACCCCCACAAACACAACCACCACCATAACCATTAGCACAGCCACTATGAAAGATATAATCATTAACACTCCAAAATTATTTTGTGACTACTACTATTACTTTTGCTATCAGTATTGCTGTATCCATCACTACCACCATTAGTACTGTTTTTATCATTGTCATTATTACTATTATTATTATTACCATTATCATCATTATTATGATTACCACAATTATTATTATCATCATTACCATTGTCATTATTTTTTTTATTATTTTATTTATTATTTTTATTAATTCATTATCTATTTATTCTTTATTCCATTTTTTTTATTTTAATGTTGCTATTATTATCATCATCAAGGCTATTATTGTTTCCATCATTATTAAGGATAGCTTTATTGTTCATCATAACCAATAACACATCAATCATTATCAATATATCATTAATAATATCACAGCTAAAATTACCATTAACACAATCACAATCGTTAATAACACAGCAGCAGTTATTGTTGTAAAGAAAATACAAACATCATCACCATGTCTATAGACAGAACCCAACAACCCACATGGTGGTAGTAGAACCAGATTAATGAGTGTGGATTTACTACATCTACATATGTGTGTATGTGAGCATATCTGCCAGTGCAAACAGCTGACAACCACCTCCACCTGTCCCCTACTAAGAGAATATTGCTACATATGAAACGCTACAATCTTGACACTGAAATAGACAGAATGAGAATTGCGTAAATACGTGTGCTCAAACACATGAATGTGTAACTGCGCTTAACCCCAAATTATGAATATGGGTGTGCATTTACAAACTAACATGCATACACCTGTATGTATGTATGTATGTATGTATGTATGTATGTCTATGTGAGTGTCATCTCAAACAAACACAGAGGAAAATTTTTCCCCTCTCCACCACACACAAATAATCAAACACAAATAAAGCATAATTAGATTCACTTTTGAAAAAATAAACCAGTTCCTCTGAAGATCACAAAAGCATGAAACCCAGGATTACAAACTACTATGCATGCAACCACATATGTTACCTCTATCACCAATATTGAGCACTTTTCACTAAATACCGTGCTAATACATATATATATATATATAAAAATACAGGGTCCATCTCATATAAAGAACTTGGGCAGGCTAGTTGAACAAAACTAAAGAAAATGAACAGGACTGACAAACTCATGGCCAGTCTAGATATAAAATCCCTTTATACAAATGTTTCAGTTGAAAAATGCCTAGATCTCAAAAAAAACGTCTAGTAAAATCAAAGATTAAGCTCTCTCTACCAACAGCTAAAATAATAAAAATCTGTCGTCTCATCACCAATCAATGTGATTTCACATTTAAAAATGTTTTTTACAAACAAAGACATTGGATTACCAATGGGATCATCTCTTAGTAGAGTGATGGCATGTATCTTCTTAGAATTCCTTGAATCTAGTCCTTTCCAAAATATTTTACCCAAACAATCAGCATACTTCCATTATATTGATGATGCTCTACTTATATAACCTTGTGATACAGATTTAGCTGACCGAGTAGATAAACTAAACAAATTTGAACATATAATAGAATTTACATTTGAAATGGAAGAATACAATTCCTTACCTTTACTAAATATCAAATGTCCTGAGATTGAACTATGATCGATCAAGTCGAGAATAAGACTACTTGTCATCATCATTGTTGAACATTTAAAGGAATACTCATGTCTACATTCACAGTTTCAAGACAGATATTAGTAGAAAAAAAATCTGTGCTTCATCAAGATAATAAGCAAAAACTTAAAATTCTGGAAGTCCTTTTATCTAAGAGAATTGCAGCCAAAAATAAATAACGTCAACTATGAGTAAAGCAACACAGTTCTTAAATGTTTGTAACAGCAAGGTGTTATATAAAACATACTAAATTAAAATAAATTTTTAAAAAATCATTAAAAAAATCACATAAGTTACCTCCCTTGCATAGAAGTGAAAAAATATTTTGAATTTATGATGTTAACACATAACACATCCATAGATATGCAACACCTGAAGATGGTTTCAGATGAGATTGAAAGTACTTTGGAAAATAAAAATTTTTTTCTTGATCAATTTTCTCATCACCAAGAAATGAATTTATGGACTTGAAAAGATTAAAACTAAAATAAAGAGACATAATACATCTAAATTATTTAACCAAACATGCTTGAGTTAAAATATGCTACCTAAATATATATATGTGTGTGTATTAAATTCCTGTTGGGAAACATTTTCTTCATTAACTTTTTACTTATCTTTAAGCCAGTAGAGATTAATATATATATATATATATATATATATATATATATATATATATATATATATATACGCATGTTTGTGTAGGTATCCCTGTTTTTATTTACAAACCATGAAATTAAATCCATGAGCCTTGATCATCAAAAGTCATTAAAAAGAAATTATATCACTTGGCAAGGATCAATCAAACCTGAGGATCTAGACCAGTAGATGTTAATTTCACTGCCTGTATTATAAATAAAAACAGATGTCACGTTGATAATAAAAAAAAATAACAATTTTTTTATTATAATTTTATTTTTAAGCTGATCGACATTTCATAGTTTTAAAAAATTGAGATGTCTCCTCAACCATGTGTATCTACTAAAAATAATTCTTGTAGTAATAAGAAATATATATATATATATATATATATATATATATATATATATATGTGTGTGTATAAATAATGATGATAAATATACATATTGTTCCACACCATTAACACAATTTTTATGCACAAGGCAATTGTGAAAACTGACCATTGTAAAATTAAAATTTAAACATTGATATTTATAACTTATTTATGCATGTAACTCAGACTTGTACTAATGGTGAGGAACAAAATGTATAGTTATTATTAATATAGATTTTTGAAAGCTCTAAGATCATTCTGTCAGATTTTGATGTGTATTTGATCACAATATATATATATATATATATATATATATATATATATATATATATATATATATACAATATGATCACAATTCATATATATATATGTATGTATATATATATATAAAGTATGCTTGTCAGGCTGTGTGTATATATTGTTACGTTACCCCCATATTTGTACCCTCACCTCAGATTTTATAAGTATATTTTCAGTACCCTTTGTATTATATATTCTCGTGTTGTCTTCTGTTGTTCTGTGTCTGCGTATTGTTCATTTTCTCTCTGCGTTTACCGATGTCCGGAATTGGAGAATTCTCCTCCCAACGTTCTTTTCTTTATTTTTATATCGAACCTTGGGATCTCTTACTTATTTTTTTTTTATTTTTCTCGTTGCGTCCCGGCTATCGTAGTCCCAACGAAACTCCGGGCGTAACAATATGCATATGCGTATGTGTGTAGATATATATATGTGTATGTGTGTATGCATGTATATGTATATATGTGTGTATATGTTTGTCTATAGGTTGGCTTTTCTGCACTTCTGTCTGTAGTGATGAATGTGTGTACACTGTACACATATTTGTTGGTAGTTCTTATTTTCTTTCACCTAATGTACAATTAGTCGTATGTGTGTTTGGAATTTTCGTTTTTATACATTAGATGGTGTTATTTTTATATGTATATATCTATTTTAATGTCATTTCTTTACCGATTGTTTGTTTCTCTGTTCTATTAGACCATTTCTATCTATATATATATTGGCCCATATAAGTTATATTTTAATATGTGGTTAGAATTCATTTAATAACACTTTCAATCTTGAATATTTCTTGAGTGTTATATCAGTGTCTATGTCAATGTATGTGGGTATATGTACGTATCTTTTTCGGTGTCTGTGTATAGTAAATTTCATTGTGTATGTGTGTGGTTTAATTTTTTTTTTTATTGCAAAAGGTCGTGCAAATATTTCCTGTCTCGTCACTTTTTTGTGTGTGTATATATCTAAATATGTCTGCATGCTTATGTATTATAATCTGATTGTTTGTATTGTCTTTCGCAAGATGTCATAATCCCATGTATACACTTGTATCTCATTGAGTTAAGGGCAGTCGATCTTAACGTTTATCCCAATGTAATTTCAATAGAAACAAAATGAATAGAATAACATATGTATTTTTTTATTTTTTCTTCTTTCCTCAATTATTTTAATATTTTAAACTTAATATAGATTAAATTTACATTTTTGAAATGGGTAGTTTTTAATTTTAATTTCAAATTTTATCGTACAATTTAATACCTATTAGTTAGAATAAGTTCTATTTTAGTATAAACCTAACTTTAAAGCATTTAATAGTTATTATAATCTTACTTTGTTCTCAAGTTTTTTGAATTCTCGTATACTTGTATTTTGATTGGTCATTTCAGCTCATGTAACAGCGTTTCCCCTTACGAGGGGTGGTTAATTAATTTGAACTGTTTAAAACCTTTATTCTACATTCAACATCATCACTTGATAAGACACCAGAGTTGTTGAAACAAAACGGCTATTTTTGTAGTGATTTTATAACATATTTATGTTACAATTTTTAAATAAATAATTATATATATATATATATATATATATATATAGGAATGGATTTTTTATTCATTAATTAATTTATTGCTTAAACTTTATTTTAAATGGATACTCATATTTGAGTAGATGCTCTCTTTTTATTTATTTATTAAACAGTAAACTGCAGTAAAAAGGTATGTATATTTTAAAAATTTGGAAAAGTCTTGTTTCCCCTAGAGTATGCAGGTTCGCATCCTATATGAGGATGAATAGTTTAATAAATAAATAAAAACAAAGCATCTATCCAAATATGGGTATCCATTAAAATAAAAATAACGTTTGAACAATAAAGTAAATATATGCACACACACACACACACACACACACACACGTGTTTTCTTTCTTTTTTTTTTTTTTTTTTTAAATCATTTCACCACCAAACAAAGCAATAAACCCACAAGACGCAAAGGGTTACCAATATAAATTGACTTAATTTTTTGCAACTACTTTATAATGCATGTTTGCCGTTAACCCCTGCATAAAATATAAGAAATTCAATTGTCGTATGCGTATTTAGCAAAAAAAAAAAAAAAAAAAAAAAATACGATCGTTAGTCCTTAGCTTTCGGAGAGGTTACCTCCCTTGTATCAGTAGATAGCGTTGAGATCAGACGTGTTCTCAATATGATTATGAAACATTGCAAAACGCGAAGAAATTCCATCAAACATTAATTTTTTTCTGAAAACTTGTATGAGGTTTCTTATATTCGTAATAGATTTATTTCATCCAAAAGACCCCTCAAAACTCTACAGCTAAACATTGTATTATATTACACATCATTAGACAATATTCGTCTATCTATATAACAACACTAACAGGGAAGAATTTTTAGCCTAAATGCACCCTTCCTTATCAACTATATTGTGGCATGCCAGTAATGAATATTTTGTCAAAATATCTTGCATAAGTACAGGATGATTTGGGTTCATACCTTCACCAGAGGTATTAATACAAAGCAAACACTGTGCCAGATGCCATTTGAACTTGGATCCATTTTCTCTACTGATAGCTGTTATGTCACCTTGCATAATCTGCAATTATTTCAGTAATTCCCTATCTATTAGGAAAGTTGGTTCACTGTGTTGTACTAGACAATTTTTCTCAACAGAATCCATTTTAAACATTTATAAATCTATCATTCGTCCATGCATTTAATATTGCTGCCACATCTGGTCTGGTGCTCCTGCTATATATTTAAAGATTCTTGATAAAATCCAAAGAAGAATATGTAATGTTATTGGTGCTGATCTGGCATCTTGTCTTCAGTCTCATTCCCACTGCTGTAATGTAGTTTCCCTATGCCTTTTCTATAAATATTTTCATGGTAAATATTCTAATGAACTTGCCTCTGTGGTATTTAGACTCTATGAATTTAAGCAGATTACTAGATTGGCAGCAAGATCTCATTATTTTACAGTTAAAATAGCTAAATTTAACCATCAGTTTGATGCTAACAGTTTCTTTTCTTGCATTTCTCACTTGTTGAACTCTCTTCCGATTTGTTCTCCAGTTAAGTTTGATCATTGAAAATTTAAATGCAATGTCAGTCATTATCTTCTGTCCTCTTAAATTCTGTTGCCACTCCTTAATAACATTTTTCGTATATTCTTTCAATGTTAGTAACCCTTTGAATGTTAGTGGGTCTGTTGCCTTGCTTGGGGTGAAATGATTAAACTGATTTTACAGTTCTTAGAGCATCTAATCAATCTGCTATTAGTGATTAACTTTTTTTTGCATGTTTCACAACAGACTTGATATAACTTGTTTTTATTGTATAGAGTTGATTTTTTTTATGGAAGAAGTAAATATTAAATTTACCTGTAGGTCATCTTTTTTTGCTGATGACCATTGTCCCTGTAACTGTAGGGATGCTTTCTGCAAAAGGGCATCAGCTGAATTGTATGATTGATACATGGTTGAACCTAAACTGCAACAGGATAAAAAAAATTGTTTAAAAAGTAATTAAGTAAAAACATTTTCATAACTTGTTCTACCTGACATGAACAGAAGACAGGGTTTTCTTTACAGTTTCATTGGCACTTGGAAAGGTTTCGGACCTTTCATAGAGAATTTCAATTATTTGACAAATCATTCAGTGAAATATTTTTACTATTGTTTCAATTATTAAGTTTTAACCAGTTGCCTCTTGTGGTGATTGACTATTCACTAATTCGTGAACAGAGGACCAATTGGTAAAGAGTGACAGGACTAACTCTGGACAGTTGTTCATCAGTAGTTTATTGCAGAAAGGAATTGGAGAAAAGTAAATGAATTTATATTAATTTTTTGATCAGTAACACAGCACTGAAAAAAAAAAAAAAAAAAAAAAAGGAAAGAAACAGTTTTCAAACACTGCTCTGTTTCTGACTTCAAGCTCTTCTTGAATTCATATCCTTCTGGAAATATCCATACTGATCACTAATATTATCACTATATATATATATATAAGTATTGGGAAAATGATATATAAATTTTTATATATCAAGGAAAAAAAAAAAAAATTCTCCAGGATCACAGTGTGGGATATTTAATAACAAAAGTGGTGGAAACATGAACAAAAAGAAAAAGTAAATAAAATTAGTTTGACTATATATCCAAAAAATATACATGTAAAAAAAAAAAAAAAATTCGGAATTTTAATTTAATTCTCATGCATATGTAGTTGCATCAACATACACATTCATTTAATCTGATGAAGTCCTAAAGAACAAAACATGTCACACAAAAACTTTTCCACTTTGTCAGTTTTTTTTCCCCCTAAAATATATTAGTAGTATTTTTATCTTTTGTCAAACATAACATTTTCAGTTGATATCTTTCATATTAAATCTTGAAAATTCAAAAAACAGATGTAGCTTTCATGTAATTTGTATTACAGCCATCCTGTATGATACAAATTTGAGCAATTGTGATCAGTCAGTGTTTATTATCTGTAATCTTCTTTGTCTGATGGTAATAACTTGGTAATAAGCAGTCAAAAAATATGATGAGGTGCTTAAAATTTCTCATGCCCAACCAAGAAGAGATTCTAAAATAAATTCTGATATTTAAGCCATTTGGTCAGATTTCTGGAATTGGGTCAAGCCAAGAACATTTCAGCACCTCCTAAATGGAATTAAATTTATATTTTAAAAGTAACAAAAATATTTTGGCAAACTTGGACTTTGTGCCCACAAAAGAATGGAGTGTCAAAAGAATGGTTTTTCCATTGATACCATTATTATTTGAAGTACCTTCATTCTCACTCCTCGGCAATGTTTATTGTTTTAAAAAGCAATGATTAGAATTGTAATAAAACCTAAAATCTAAGCATATGATGAAAGTGAATTTATACATTTTTTTTGTTCTTGAAAATTGACAAATTGTTCTTCTAGACTGGTTGCCAAACAAGGCCCAGTCTACATTCCTATTTAACACACACCCCTTTTGCAAGGGTATTTGTAAGAAAAGAGAATGTGATGAACTCAACTGTTGAACATAGAACAGCTTATTTTATAAGTAATGCTGTTAATGTTTAAGTGTTTTGTTGGCTACCAATTTTTGATTTGTAAGAAGAGATTCTTTTGATACAGTCCCTGAAGGAGGACATAGCGTACATCAATCGAAATGTAAGAATAACAAAAATCACACACACAAAACAAAAAAAAAAAAAATAAATGAATACAATTAGTGAAAAATCTTTTTAAATTACTGAAATTAACATGCAATGATGATCATTGCAAATACAAGATAAACATGCTAACAAAATCACCAACACTGGGATAGAGAAGGTCAGTATCTGAACGGATAAGGACAACTGCTGTAGAGAAATGGTGAGCAGGCTTTTTTTTCTTTTTAAACTAAATTTCACACAATACAAAGCTGGTTCAAGAGTCAATCAATATAGAGTTTTCCAGTCAAAGTGGTCATGATGAATAACGTGTGATATGAATGGAAAAGAATGTGGTAGAAAGTGAAGATTATAAGGATAAGGAGAATAGATAGTAATTGACTCTTGACTTGAAGTGGTTAAGATTATGGTTGAGATTAAAAAGAAGCATCCATGTGGGAGTTTGTGCCACAAAATGAGAGTTCTTGGGGAAAAGCTGTCTGAATGGGATATTCTTATATTTGAAACAGGGAGGAAATGAGGACAATTTGACAATGTGGAAGTAGCAGGAACTATTAGAACTAAAGAATGGAGCTTATGTAAACATTTGCTGTGGAAATAGTAATAGTGTAATGAAAAGCATTGGATGTTTCATCAGAGCATCTATGTTCCAAACTATACAAAGCTTAGTAAATATTTACATCAGGTATCTACTGTAGAGAGGTGTTCAGCAAGTGTCTCACTGTCCATTGATTGTATAGAGAGTTCAATCTGCATTATGTGCATTACTAAAAATCTACATAAAAGGTGACTACTTTGCAGGTTCATATTTCAAGCCAGACAATGTTAATCTGATCCTGTTTGTTTACTTTTGTGACTGTGTCACATCTTGCTAATAATAATATCTATTTACTGATATTTCTCCTTTAAATTTGTTACTATGTTTAGACTGCTTACACTTGCTTTTCTATTCATAATTATTGAAACGTTATTCACATATTCTAATTTCAGAGAATTACCTCAAGTATGACAAGGTTTTCATGACTATTCAGAACTTGACATATATGTGAAAATAAAATAAAAATTATGACACATCATTTTGACTATTTTCCTAAAGAAATAATATTTGTAGATCAAATCAACAGGAAATTTGTACAAAAGAGATTGAGAAAAATAGGACATGGTGGGCTGATCATCTTTGTATACCATGAATTGCTGGGATGTCCTTTTCAACTCTTCTCATACAACTGATGTGATGAGTACTAGCATAGTGATTTTCCAAGCGTAGCTCAGATGTGGCACAAGGGCGTAAGTATGGGGCACCCAGTGAGGATCGAACTCACTACGATGCGTACTAGCATATTGTTAGTATTATGTATTGCTTGGACTACTTGCTGTGACGTCACTAGAATTTTCCTCAACTTTGACCTCTCACCAAGCAAAGTTGAATAATGCCTTTAAATACAAATTTTTTTCTGACACTTGAAATAGACATATCTGCCCAGAAGGCAAAGTAATTTGTAAAGAAAGAGGTGGATTTTTTATTTTCTTTATTAATCCAATATATATATGTGCGTGTGTGTGTGATGGGTGCTAACTGATTAAACAAGACCATTGCTAACAAGCAGTGCCTTTATTGAGATTATAGCTGTGTATGGTTTTCACAACACTGCAACAACTTACACCAGCAGAGACAAGATGTGAGGTAAGCATATATATATATATATATATATATATATATATATATGACAAACACTTAAAAAAAACCATAGGTGATATTTTATTTCATTGAATCTGATAAAACATGGCTTCCATGAAATAAAATATCACCTATGGTTTTTTAAATGTTTGTTTGTCATTATATAATAATTTTTCCTCTGTCTTTTGACAGAGCTCTCAGCGGATCTATATCCTCTTGAAAATTCCATATGGATTACTAATAATTTTATTATTAATATTATATATATGTGTTTAAAGTAATTAAGCTCTTTATTATATTTTCTTGCATTAGTACAAATGATTTCTCTTTTTTCAATATAGAGTAAGAACTGTTCTAATGATCTGTTGATCTGAGCACTTTTGGCTAATCTATTGGATGTTTTTTGTTTGTCTGAATATGTAGATTTTTTTTTTTATAGCAATAAGAATGTTTTCATTTCTGAATACATTTAGCATGTTGTGGTCGTGTTCCTAATTGACATTATTGAGAGTTGATTTCTTATATTTTATTGTTAATGCTTCCATCATTTTTACCTGTTTTTCCTTTTTTTGTCTATGAACTAAATAGGTGAGCAATGAAGAAGCTTAAAAAAAAATGGAAATGTAAGGGCACTTATATTTAGAATCAGAAAAAGGTAGTTGAAATTTCTAGAATATATAAAGATCAAAGAAGGCTTGGAGAATTTGGCACTCACAGGACATATTGAAGGCAAGAGGGATAGTGGGAAACAGTGAGTATCCTATCTTGTGTAAATGAGAGGGATGGTAAAAGGACAAACCTTACTAAGTGTTACGAAGGATAGGTAGTTGTGAATAGCCATGATTGTCCACATCCTGATGGGACATGATGCATACATAATAAATAGCAATCCAAGTTCTGATTTAATGATTTATGTCTCATTTTTCTTTTATGTATTAATCACATAAATGGTGATAATAGTTGTATTATTTTGTTTCAGTTTCGACTATCAAACATTTTAGAAAGTTTAAATGAATGCTTAAAAAAAAAAAAAAATAGTAGCAAAAATAAACGTACTGTTGCAATAAACTGTTTTATGGAATCACCAGGCAAATGAAAAATCCAAAACAAAAAAAAATAACTTTATTCCAAAATTTGCTAAAAAAAACAAAAAAAACAAAACAAAACACACACACACAACACACACACTGCAGGAAGGCATGTTGGTTTGTTGAAAAGATAAATTTCAGTGCTTGGGTTAAGGTCTTTTTTGCAATATTTAGTAAATCTCTTAATTGCAGACATTTCACTCAATATTTCCAAAATCACAAACCGCTTTACCCACAAAATCATATTTAATTGTATTTAAAAAAAAAAATGTCTCTATTTTATAATCAACATGACTTAAATGAATTCTTGCAACTCCTTCACTTTCAACATTTAATTTCTAAATTAAACTTTTTAAAAAGTTTACCTAGCAATTCCATAAAATCTCCGATAGAAAATGAGTGTTTCCTATGTTGATTTTTTTGTTAAGGATAAAAGAAGTAATGACACAAGGTGGTGAAATTTATACCTGTCATTAACAGTAGAACTTATTCAACAGTAATTTGTCATAGTCACAATGAAGTGAATAAATTTCCAATG